CCGTCTCACCAGCTCCACAGGGTGATGATGAACGAGGCCCAGGGTATCCCTTTGATCCCCACGTTGCCTTCCTGGGCGAAACCAATCCCATCCAGAGGGACAGAAACTAAAGCAATGCCGTTGACGCCAATCACGTTACTTTGGTGCGCAACCTAGAGCCCAGGCCTGTTGCTGCTGCTCCGCATGACTGGTAGCAGGCTTTGCACCGCCCTGCCGGCACCATCCATCACCGCTGCCCACGCAGGCGCTGAGGAAACTCCTTCACCAAAGAACCGATGGGCACGTCCCTCCTGGAAAGGGGGAGGAACAGCCTGGCGGGACCGAAAGGGAGACGCAATCAAAATAGAAAAGCAATGGCCATCAGCACAGCAGGGCCAGCAGCGTTCTCCTGTATCATTGCCCAGAGATTTTTCCTAGGAATAGAATAAAAACAGGCATGGCAGAAAATCACTATTTCATTCTGACCATGACCAACTTGAAAATAGCCATCGTATACTTGATTTACACGTCCAGCCTCAAAACTACATTTGTAGAAAGACGCTTCCAGTGGTGCTTTGGAAGGAGCTGTGCCTGGCTGGGGAGGGCAGCAGGGCCAGCAGCACGGGACTCTGCAGATCCGTCTGGGAAGGCTGGTGTTCACAAGTGCATCCCCAGCTTTGAGATCTGGGGTGGGGAAGGAGCACCTTTGCCGTGCAAACCCAGCAGCCGCCCGTGGGGCTTGAGGAGGCAGCCGGACAGCCCAGACCTACTCGCAAAGAGGGGATCAACACCGATCTGATCCGAGGCTCGTGGCTGGAGTCCAGCACTCAGTTCAGCCCACAGCCCACCGCTACTGCAACAGAACAGTGCAAGAGCATTTTGGTTATGTGTTTCAATCTTTTAAAAGCTATGAAATAGATAGCATTGTTTTCCTTATTCTTTAAGTCACATTCCTTGTGTGGCCACGTAAGTGGTATCGCTAGGAACACATTCTACTATCATTATACCAAAAAACCAAAATATTTACTGGAATAATCCATTAATCAAAGCAGGTTTTTGAGATTTCAATCAGATTTGGGTGCTTCTGAAAACTATTGATTTGAAAAAATCCAGGACTGGCTCCCCAAAACTGCATTTTTAAAACTGTACATCAGCAAAGGCATTTCCTTTTTCATCCTCTATCTTTTGTATGCTTTGTTAAGTTAGAAACCCAAATCAGCATAAAATGCTTGCCAAGGGAAGGGAGAAATGTATTCAGATTTAATCTAGTGATTATGGTTCATTCGTTGCAAACAGCTCCTTCATCAAGGCCATCAGGTGAATTATTAACCTCTTCCATCCACAAATAGAAAAATACCTTCAGTCACGAGGAAGCAATGCAGGAAAAAAGGCTACACGGGTTATTTGCGGGCGCATGGGAAAGGCACACAGCAAGGCTCGCTCCGCAGCGGAAAATACTGCTTGGGGGGGGGGGGGGGGGAGGGGGGAAGCACCTGATGCCCGCAGGGTAGACGAGGTGGCCGTCCTGGTGGGAGCAGTGACATCCTGGTGTCCTGGCACCTCGCTGCTTCTCGGTGGCTCTGCCTCTGCCCGGCCACGTGTTGCAACACACGGCGAGAAAAACATTCCTGGGGAAGCGTTTCACCGAAGTGGCTGGGGGGGGGGGGAGGGGAGATATTTAACTCGGTGGCTCTGCCTCTGCCCGGCCACGTGTTGCAACACACGGCGAGAAAAACATTCCTGGGGTAGTGTTTCACCGAAGTGGCTGTTATGTTATCTCCAACATTACTGCAAATGAACTTCTGCTGCTCTCATCCTCCAGAACAGCAGAGAGGCTGCTGCGCTGCTCCTGCCTCTGCCCGGCCACGTGTTGCAACACACGGCGAGAAAAACATTCCTGGGGAAGCGTTTCACCGAAGTGGCTGTTATCTCCAAGATGACATTACTGCAAATGAACTTCTGCTGCTCTCATCCTCCAGAACAGCAGAGAGGCTGCTGCTGCCTGCTAGCAGGGAGCAGTAAGCGCTCCTCGCAGGCTGCTCGCAGGGTTACTCTGGCCAAACCTCACCAGTTAACTCCCTGCTATCGGCTCCACCAGAGCCCAGCGTGGGTCTGGCGTGTCTCCAGCCCCTGGGGTGCACCCTGACATTGGTGTGACCAGTAGTTGCAGCAGACCACTGGTTTCGAGCAGCTGGGGAGCAGGCGCAGAGCAGGTAATACAGCTTCTGAGCAATTAATTCCGCATATAAATAGAGTAGCAGTTAGCAGGTACATGCTGTTGTCCCTTCTAGTCACCCCTGACACTGGTCTCCAGGCTCTCCAACAGGTAAGAGAGGCATTTCTGGGTGCAGGCTGTGGGAAGGGGACTCTTGGCTGTGCTGGGGGGTAGGATTTTAATTTGGGCTTTCTCCCAAGCAAAGGATTATTGGGGCCAATAAAGCCAAACAAGGTGACAGAACGGCTCTGGCAGCGGTGGGAGGAAAGGAAGAGAGGGCAGATAAAGAAACCCGAGCTGGGAAGGCTGGAAAATGAAGGGGCAGATAGGGTACATCTGTAAATGGGGATCAAGGCGAATTCATGGTATTCTAAAATGTATGTAAAGGAAAGGAGGCAGGATCAAAAATTAGTTTAAATAGAAGTAGAGAGGAAACAATAAAATAAACTCAGAAAAGTGTCTCTCCTGCCCTGCCTTTAGCAGGGAGCCTGTCACACTGAAGGGAAGCACTCAGCAGCAATAGCAGGTAGCACTTCCCCACCGACCTCCGCAGAACCCCTCTGAAACTCGGGTCCGACTGCAAGGAGGGAGGTCCTGGGACGGCTCCTGGTCACACTGGAGCAACCATTTGTTTCGGAATACAAATCATCCCCACACAAACCAGTACAAAAACAGCATCTTGCTTTACCTGATCGCCTTAAATCATATTTTGTATTTTGCTATTATATCAGACTGCTGGGAGTTTTGAGAGTAAAAGCTCTTGAAGGCAGGTGTATTTGAGTAAGCAACCACAGAACTCCATCTTTGGCCTGTGTACCTTTTAAGAAGTACAATAATTCCTCAAAGGTACAGGAAAAAAAGAAAAATCGGGCATCAGCAGCATGCAAGGAAATTTTATCCAAGGAGCTAAGAAAGCCTGGAGGCAGCCACGACTCCCTGCCTGCCGTCAGACCTGCTGCATTCACTGACCAAGGGAAGCTAGCGCTAAAGGAGGGGGAGCTGGACATCACCACGGCTCGTGCGCCAGCTCAGATCCCAGCTGCTGAATGGGTCACGCTGGTAGTGCTTGAGACAGAAGTGACCACCTTTGTTTGCTTGTTTCTTCATTTCAAAATTAATCTGCTGACAGAGGCAAAAACGAAGTAGAGGGCTGCCACGAATAGAGGGACACTGCTGTACCTCAGCTGCACCCACCGTCGCCTCGCTTCTGAAACGATTCATTTTGTTCCAAAAACCAGACACTAGCAGTGGGGCTGTATCAGGCTTTGAAAAGTACTGCACAGCTTGGGGGAAAAAAGAAGAGAAAAAAAGCAACAATAAAAGCATGCTATAAACCAAGTTCACTATTCTGTTACACCAAGGCAAAAAAAACCCATTGAAATAAGAGTCACCAGTGGAGCTTTACACATTTTAACTAGTCACATTAAAGCAGAGTGTGGTTGTTTCCAAACTGCATTTACTGCTTTCAAATCCTAGTTTAGAGCAAGGGCTGAGAGGTCTCTCAGTAGAGAGGACTTTCTCCTGCTTCTAATAAAAATTCCCATCAGCCTCACGGGTGTGATCCCAAATAAGGGCAAATGGAAAAAGAGGAACCGTCCTTGCCTTTAACACGATCAGTACAACTGCCAAAAACCAGCATGTATTTAATAAATGCAATGTAGATTGTTTTATTTGACCTTCTGTTCACAAAATAATTTTATTATATGTATGAAAGCAGCATACAGGCAATAAAATTATGAAAACATTCACAATACATAAATACACAGACCTGATGCAGGATGTATATAGTTCATTAGACTTTAAATTTTTTTTCCTCTCAGTTCTCTTTTCCTGACAATGCATTTTTCTGATATATGTTATGAAAAAGTTGCTCCAAAGGGTATTTTCTCCCATTCAGAAAACAAATAGCTTTCTTTGAATGCTGCTGAATATTAACACCCAATGTTCCTGTTGCTAACGTTCACCGATTGCTTTTGGCATTACAAAGGGAAAGCGGCAGGGAAGGACAATGGAAAAGTAGCAGTTTTTTGAATTAAACATTGGCGACTTTTTTGGAGCTCACAGGACGTTTTTGAGGTGGGGGCTGCAGTTCCATCCATATTTAGAAATGTCTTAATCCAAAATGGTAACGAGGCACTATTCCTTATTGAACGGACTATTGACATGGTAATTACTAAAATGTAATGTCCTCCTAGCTTCCAAAGTAAAGCACTAGGTACCTCACTTTTTAATTCTGACCGTGATACAGTAGCAGACAGACAGCATGATCCTGGTGGTACTGCAATAATACAGATGATAATGAGGTTTGGCATGTTTACTACCATTATAACCAATTGTGTTTGTTCAGAAAAGATATCCAAGACTTGAAATAAGAAAAGTCTGAGAAAGCCGTTTATCTTACATAAATACAAAACATTATATACTAAGAATTGTTATCTAAGAAGCTTTTCTTCTCAAATTGGATTCTTCTTAAGGTTGTAGTCATATTTAAGGTATTTACAGATCCACAAACTTGACATTCTAGCAAAGTCTTTGTAACATGAAACTTTTTTTAAAAATAAATAGCAGCAATTTCTTTTATTTCTAGAAGGGAAGAGAATTCACAACTCAGTCAACGCTGGTCCTACCTTTTGAAAGAAATCCCACTTAAAACAAAAAAAAGCCCACAAGCAAACGAACTCCACAGAGCATCGGTTTTGTTGATTCCTTCATTTCTTGCTGAGCTTCTTAACATTCCTCCGTTCCCCTCACCCCCTCTCCAGACTATCAGAGCTTGTAATAAAGTGCTGACTGGTTGACTGGTCAAAATGCAGTTATGACACTCCAAAAATATCCCATTATTTAGACATCTTAAATAACATAAATAAAGCTAGATCTGTTATAACATATGAAAAATATCAATTTAAAACAATAAATAAATAAAACCAGTATCAACATATTACCTCCCAAAGCTTTAAAAATAACCATTCTCGTTATAAGGCTCAATTATTTGTCAGAAATAATTCTAAGAAGGCATCTACCTACCTTTACAATCCCTCAGTCTTTAATTAGGACCTGTTAACACCCACTATCACAAGACACAGCAATCTTTTAACTTCTAGTAAACATTAATCTTTAAATACTTAACATTTATCTTTTGCCTCATTTTAAGCTAGAAATTGGTTTCTCTGTGTGGAGAAGAAGCAATATTTTCTTTCTGACTGCACTGTATCTAAATTAGTATATTTTCCTCGGTATGAACAGCACAGTTCAATATCCTTTTTTTAGCCAATTTTCAGTATCTGTTTCTGTTTATTGTTTTAAACGTCAAATTTGCTTTGAATGCCAGGAAAATTAATTCTGGGCTTGGTGTAAGTGTGTATTTCTCCCTAGAGCTTAGTTTCTTACTAAAAAAATCTTGTATATCTTTTTTCTTTAAAAGATTATTACAATATACACTATTAGGTCTTGCTGGGTAAACCTTACTGTTCAGGTTTTATGCTGCCCATTTTGTGTAATGGGATTGATCTTTTCCAAAGAAACATCAGCTTCATAATCCAAGATCCCCGACAGTGCTGGAGACATTTTCTCCAAGGTCTTAGATAGTTCACCCTCTTCTTCCTTTTTGAGAGGTTCTTCTTCCGGACAGATAATTGCATGTGGAATCAGATAAACCAGATTAGACTCTTTGGGGCTGGACCCTTTGGGCTCATGTTGGCTCGAAAAAACAACTGCTCCGTTATTGTTAATACTAACAGTCTCTATAGCATTGCTGGACATAGGGCAGAGCCTATAGCATCCTAGCAGGGTCGAAAATGCCTTGCGGAAATCAGCATTGAAGGCATAAATGATGGGGTTGAGGGAAGAATTAGCCCATCCAAACCAAACAAAAACATCAAAGGTGGTGGAATTAATGCAGAAAGCTTCTGCTCCCTTGGACGGTTGGGTAGGCTCGCAGAAAGGAATCATGCAGTTCAATACGAAAAACGGCAACCAGCAGCACACAAACACCCCCATGATCACGGACAAAGTCTTTAAAACCTTCGTTTCCCTCTTGAAGGACATTTTGAAGTTGCTCTCTGGTTGCTGGCAGTCCATACTGCTTCTGTTGCCGCTCGTGTTCTGGCAGTTCTTGGCATGCACTGCTGCTCTCTCCAAAGCCGAGATGCGTCGTATTTGCTTCTGAGCAATCCGGTATATCCTCGTGTAAGTTACTATCATGATGGCCACAGGTATATAGAAGCTAATTAGAGAAGAGGAGATGGCATACATCCTGTTTAGGCTAGAATCACAGTTGTCCATGCTTATACCTTGTAAACTGGCATTTAGGTCCAAAACGCTTGTGGTTGTAGCCTTGTGCCAGTTCAGCTGCACGGGGATGAAGGAGATCAACACAGACAAAGTCCACGCCACGCTGATCATGATGAAGGCTGCCTTGGGCGTCATTTTCCTCTCGTACCTAAATGGGCTGGAGATGGCCCAGTATCTGTCCACACTAATGACACAGAGATTTAAGATGGAGGCTGTTGAGCACATAATATCAAAGGCCACCCAGATGTTGCAAAATGAACCAAAAGGCCAGAAACCGGCGATCTCAGCCACAGCTTTCCACGGCATGACCAAAACTGCCACTAAGAGATCTGACACGGCCAAGGAGATGACAAAGAAGTTGGTCACCTTGGACCTGAGGTGGCGAAACCTAATGACAGCTGCACAGACCAGCGTGTTTCCCAGCAGCGTGGAAAGGATCAGCAGCGAGAGGAAGCAGCCCGTGAGGATCCGAAAGGAAGAGTCCCTTTCCACCAGCAACCCTTCCCCGTCCATAGTGGTGTCGTTCCAAGTCATAGTTTCTCCTGAGGGAAAATCATATCATGATTTTCGTGACGACATCAGCTCCTTTCCTTGCAGAGATCAGACACATCAGACGTCCATTAATTAGTCATCACCAAACAGACCAAAGGTCCTTTCTTACGGTCCCTTCGCCCCCGGCTGGACTTCACCCACTTTGAATCTCCCTGAACGAGCAGGAACTGAAAATGCACAAGTACAGTCCACCCTACAGACCGGTTTTTTAAGCAATCCCTTCAGAAACACACTGCACCACTCCAGCATGAAGTAGCCTAATCCAGACAGCTCACCTGCAAATGTTCTGCTGCTGTCCTCTGCAAATATACCCCACAGACAGGAAAGCAATCACTTTTCCATGCTTGCATATATTCCCACTTAAATAGGCTATTGATCGAGCATTTCCAGCGTCCATTGCACTAGCCCTTCGTATTTACTGAAGCGTACTATACGAGGTGCTTTTTCTTTAGTTTAATTTCCTAAATGTCTTGCTGATGAAACACTCCATCCTTCCTCCTCGGTACACTCCTGTTACAAAATGCATCAGTTCTCTGTTTCTGGGCAGCCTCAGAGAGCAATTCTTCACTTTATTTCAAACTGTTTAAGTTTTACACTTCTGATACAAAGAAAATAAACATACAGTAGGTGTGTTTTAAAGGTTTTCAGTAAGAAGTAGCTCAGGTTATTTAGTTTTATTTAAACGAGAAATGCTGGCTCCTACCTTCCACCTCTGATTCTGTTTGCTCTGGGATGCAGGGCCGTCTCTCCTCCTCTTTTAGTTTTGGAATTGCATAGCAAATCTTATATACAAAACCAACACAGAAACACTGCATTGCATCGGGGGGGGGGGGGGGTGCGTGTGTGTGGTTTTTTCCCTGAAAGTGCAAATTGGCAGGGGAGAAGTAAAAACAGGAGCCAGCAGAGTTTGACCATCAGGAGTTAGTTTTCAAGGGAGCAGCAGGTCTGTGCTGTCGGACCATGCATGACGGACCCCGCCGGCGTGTGCCCAGCTCCCTCCATCCCGCAGTCCCTGCTGATCACTCCGCAAGCTTTGCTGGCCGGATCAGTCCCAGTCGCACTTTGTACATCCCGTCGAAGCGGCACATCAGGGCAAAACATCCCAGGCAAAAGGCACGGTATTCCCAACGCTGGCAAGAGTCGAGTACCAGTTCTTTCTTCTGTCATTCGCTGGAAGGAGAAAGAAGGGCGAGAGGAGGAGAAGGACCTGAGTGACCTCCCCTCGGCCCCGACGCGGGGTGCGACGCCGGCGGTGCCCGCGGCGGGTTCCTCTTCCAGCGGGGACAGGTCGCTTTAACGCTCCGCCGCCAGGTTATAGCTCTCCATAACTACCCCGGAATAATCCCACCTCCTGCTCAGCGGGGCTGCGCTCCAGGGATCGGGTCCAGCTTTCACCATGCTTTTTCCCTCTCAGAAAAGCGCAGGCGGAGGCAGCTCCTCACGCTCTCCCGCAGCCTGCCCCGGGCCGCGCATCTCCGGTGCCGGGGGCTCCCGGCGGCAAAGGCTTTCTTCTGCCCGGGGCAGGGCTCGGCAGCATCGCCTCTCCAGGAAAGGTCTGTCTGCCTGGCGTCTCCTTCCTAAAGGATTAAGACAAGGAAAAGACAGGCATGGAGGCACGCAGCGGGCAAAAAGCAACCCCCCTTCGCCTCCTCTAACATCTTCGGTCGGGCGCAGCTTCTTCTGGGCAGCCTCTCCCCGGTTTTTCTGCCTTCCTGGGGAATAACGTCCCGGCCAGCCAGGCAGCCGGGACGAGAGGCAAAGCCGGGCTCCTGGAGCGGCTGTCCTGCAGTTTAGCGCAAACGGGATTACTTTGCCCCGTCCTGAGCTCCACCGAGCTCCGGGACGCCCGGGGTGCTGCGTGATGCCTCGGCGCTGCGAGCCAGCTGAGTTCAATTAATTGATGCGGAAAGTAAGTACCGGCACCTAACTTCGGGCTGGGCGATGCTCGGGAGGCGGGCTGCGGGCTGAGGCACCCGCGGCTTC